TCATATAAATTAAAAGTTTACACTAAAACATTTGGTCTCAGCCTATTACAAATGTTAAAAAATACAAACGTGAGTTGTGTTTACACACTTTAAAAAATATGCCATCAAAACCGAGTCAGAAGTGACTAGTTTGCTTTACTTTCCAATATTTATACATGTATTCTCTCCCATATCTGTCTTATACTTTTGTTGGAAGTAATGTTTTCATGGCTTTATTAGTTTTTTTAATATTTCACCTGGAATACGTTCAATATCTTCCATTTACAAACATTTCTTTATTCTCTAAGTCACTATGGTGATCATAAGCACACAATGTAAGGAACCCTAAAATAGATCTTTTTCACAAGCAAAACCACATCAAATCATACGAATAATGCTAACTATATACTTCAAATGTTAAAGATTTGCTTGAATTTTTGAAAAATTTTAATCATTCTGAAATGGAAACGAAACAATACCAAATATCACACGGAGTTAAAGGGATATAATTGCACCCGTGGTAAGTAAGCTCCTATTGTTGCTCATTTTCTTGAACATGCCACTCATGCAATTATACCCCTTTTTATCCACTTCTTTCGTTAATTACTATTATTGTACATGCAGCATTTATTGTCATACTATAAAACTGTGTAAAAATACAATTGAATGTTACAAAATGTCCTAATGTCAATACAATGACATCAAACATAAAATATTATAAGCAATTAGAAAAATATTTTTTAAAAGTAGATTAAAATCAAATTCATGATTTTAAACAACCTATTAAAAAATGTTGAACAGTTATCACAGGACGCTCACTTAAGAACACTTTTATAGGGCAGGTAAGAGCATTATTTATGATTCATGAGAATCAATAAATTAAGAGTAAGGAGGCATAAAAAATCATGTGATATTTAGAAAATCACCATTACAAGAGTACTAATAAAAAATCATGCTATAGATGATGTTTCATAATGTTCACTAGCTATTAAACATAATGTGTGCTTCAAATTTTGAAGAGCAAGTAAAAATGTTCCAAGTTCCAGACATCGACCATTGTTCTTAACATTAATAGTTGAAGGACACTCTACAGATATCACAGAGTTCAGAGACAATGAACTTTTATGCATAGAAAGTGGAATTTATATTTTAAGTACAGTTTCCCCCCATTAATTAAAACAGGTAAAATGTGATATCGAACCTTTTTGTTTGTATCATTTATTTATTTGTTTTTGCAAGAAATACAATGTGTTTTCATTACCAAGGAAATGAAAAATGTCACTCCATGAAGTTGTGCATGTATTGGGAGTAAATAAAGTAACAAGAGAGAATAATTAATTTCCATTAACACTACAATTATCAACAATACTCTTTAAAACTAATCAAAATTTATTTACTCATTATTTTATTTATTAGGTAGCAACATTGGTGTCTCTCGCACATAAAATGTGAGGAAACATCAAAGAAAATTATTTAAATGTCAATACAGCTTCAGAATTTTAGTTTGTCATACGTTCTAAATAATTGACTAAAATTAACAAATTACATGTAGAAAATAGGTGAAGATATGTTGCAGCAAATCATAAATTGAACTGAAAATATATATTATTCCTGGTGAGTGGTTGTTCATTTTACACTAAACTGAGAAATGTAAACGGTAATGTGAACTGTGTACATATGAGATAATCTTTGTCCATTTTGCTTCACAATTCTGATATTTATAAGGGTAAATTGAAAACACCATAAATACATCTATGTGTGTGAAGTGTTCGAGAGATGAAATTAATGGATAAATATCATGAATCAAGAACATGTTAACACTTTGACTTCGATGATAAAACTGAGCCAGACTCGATAGGTTGTGGGCTTGATTGTATTGGTATAATATAATCTACTCCATATAAAGCATATACATGAGTAAAGGTATTACATTTTTTTTTATATTTCTTCATTATTTTAGTTAGAAAGTGAATGACATAGACCAAGGGTTTGGGGTGGACACAAGGCAAGGTAGGGGGAACAGTGAGGCTAGACAAACAAACCATGAGCAGGGATGCTCTAGAATAGTTGTTGAACTGACAACCCATGAGCCACATGCAGCATCAACATTGGTGTCTCTCACACATAAAATGTGAGGAAACATCAAAGAAAATTATTTAAATGCCAATACAGCTTCAGAATTTTAGTTTGTCATACATTCTAAATAATTGACTGGAATTAACAAATTGCATGTAGAAAAAAGTGAAGATATGTTGTAGCAAATCATGAATTCAATAACGTACTCTGATAATAGGAGAAAATGCAGTGCCATATTTTGTACCTACAAAAGGCTATTAGTCAAAACTAATAGTCCCTTGCATCCATCTCGGGTGAGAAGATTGCACAACTAGTGCACATACTCAGTAGGGTCAGTGCCCTCTTAATGTAAAAATAGAGTGTAGATTTAAGAATTATTTTCTAGTAAATTCAGAAATTCAAAATTATCCCAATATATTACACTGCTTTGTGCATAGTATGGTCTGATATCATGCATCGTTCCATCCACCCTCATGTCAGAGTAGCCAGGCAAACTGCCAAGACCAACAATTTGGGGAAATCTGATGTGGATCACCTGAGTAATGTAAATATAGCCCACAATCATATTAATGGTTTCAGTTGTGGCCCTTGAGGTCATGTAAGTCAGACACCCCTGCTCTAGAATATACATCTAGATAGAAGTGGACGAACAAGATGGAAACAGATCAATTTTTTGCCTAATAGATTGTGAAAAATTAAAGACTGAGCAACACAGGTCACTTCAGTTTGATTGATTGAGGCGTATCTTCAATAAAAATTGTAATTTTGATTATACTTTATGTTTTTTCACCTAAACATGAGAAAAAAATCCAGTTTCTGTTATTTCCATAAAGCATCTCTTCACAAAACTCAGGGAACACCATGTATGCCAGTTATTTAATAAATGATTGTAGTAAATAAATGATGGGCCTCTTAAGCCAGTATTATAATGAGATAGTAAGCCAGTATAAAATGAATAAAAGAGAAATTTGTCATGAATTCTCTACATATTGTTTAATCTTGCTTAGAAGATATTGTCTATCTTTTCATTAATTTAAAATAATTGTCAGCAATACATAAATAAGTTGATATATTTCTAACTGTAATAATTATAATAAATAATTATATTATAATGAAATGAAATGCTTACAAGTGATTTTTTTTCTTTCATTGGAGATAAAAATGTTTAGACATATACAATGAAATAAGTTACATATCATAAATTGATTGCAAATTCAAACGATACAAAATTTCTGGAAATGGCTGTAGTTTTTTAAATCTTTCTTTCTCTCCCTTCCCCCTACCTCCTCTGGAATAGAAGAAAGTGCACTTACAAAAATGGAAGTATCAAATTTCCATAAAGCCTAAAAAATAATCAAAATTGTGAAACTCAAATTAATTGTCAAATCTGTCTTAAACCTATAATATTTAAGCAACAATTTTTTTTTCTCAATGCAATTTATCTCTCAATCATAGATCGTTAAATGATACAATGTACTTTAAAAAATTTGTTAAGAAATAACTAGTGACACTACACGAGGAAAGGTTTCAGTATGCGGCACTTGCTACCATGAATAGCCCACTAGTTATACTATATGAGTGCAATGATGAAGTATCAGAAAGATCAATATTAATGAAAAATCATTTTTCATTACTTCATGAGTTTATTATATTACACATTCAAATCTTTGATCTAATTTCTTTCAAAATAAGAAAAAGAATATTTCAAAAATGTCTACAAATCATTAAAACTAATTGTGGTACATTTATTATAAAGAAGACATTTATTTATAAACAACAAAATAACTAAAATTTTATATAATCATCAGGATAAAGATGTAGTTGGGTTGTTTCGAAGATCATGTAAATTTTTAGTTTGCGAGCTACTTAACATGTGTTATTACCAAAACTTTCAGGAAATAGGTGTTGGATGTTTTTTTCACTCTTTCTCTCCCCCCTCCCTTCTCTGCAATAGAAAAGAATGTGCATACAAAAATTGTAGTACTGAGAAGTTAATTAATTTTTTTGTTTATTCTTTTTACAGAATTGTTAATTTCTACATCAAATAAGTTATTCCTAATTTTTTTTTTTCCTTTCCCACTGACTTTCAAACACTTCTGAAATTTTACTAACAGGCAGTAAGGAATAAAAAGATGAAGGGAAAACAAGTGCATGTCAGAACACAAACAATAGAATGGAACAAGAGAGTACAATAAGATTTTATTGATGAGTAAGCAAGTTGACAATAGGAACCCAAAGAGCAAATTCTCAGGGGCCAATTCTGAGGGAATAAAATCTTTTGACCCTCAATTTCTATTATATTATTTCATCCGCACCGTAAATGAAAGCATCAAAGTCAAAATCAATACCTAAAAATTACTGTATGCTCAAATTCCAACACCAATAGCCAATCTCATTGTTTTAATAAGACTGTAAATTCAATAATACCAAGAAAAAAACTATTCTGTTACAATATCTTTACAATGAACAGCAAACCCTGCCCAATGCAGAATGTGTACAATGCAGAAATCTGTCTAATGTGAACACAAATCACAGTCCTAGCAAACATAAATTCTGTAGCATTAAAATTCAAGATAATGCTTGAATCTTAAAATTCAAGACAATCTTGGCTCATACAGAAAAAATAGATCCTTTGAGATTCAGCATTGAGCAAGTTTTACCGTTCTAGCAAGGAAATAAAAGTCTTAGGAATGAATGAAATTGTTTTAGATTTATTTTGTAATAAAATTGCTATTTATGGTGGCAAGAACAACAAAATAAATAATTGTGCACCCTAGTGGATGCAGATCAAATAATTGGATGTAGTTGTAATGGATAAATTCAAAGAACATTCTTGAAAGTAAACAATAGTAAATTACACTTTAAATTAACTTAAAGTAAATAATTTACATTTTTAGAATGGGAAAAGACATAATAAGATGGTAATTAAAATACTTTCTATTTCATTTTTTTTTTACCCAAAAGTTTTTAAACATGAAGAAATAGTTTATTACATCCTTCAAGTTTTAAAATTACAAAATTGGTTAATGAGGTAAAATTATTTGTGTGTCAGTCATCAGAGCTTCAGTAAGATACACTTAGGCCATGAGATATTTAGCGCTGGAAGGCTAAATTCATGAAACCTACAAAGCCAAATCAGGAACCATTGGACAATTTGTTTTAACTAATCTAAATTCAAGAACCTGCACCAAATACATAATTATAAATTTGAAGTCAAGATATACAGTTTACATAAACTTTGCCCTCTGTACAACCAAGAGATTGTCTATTTCTTATCAGTTTGTATTCTTCTTTTACTACCTAGTAAATAAGATTATTCAAAACCAAAAGGCATTTCTGGGGGCAAATAAAAATAAAAATAAAATGAAAGGATGGTTGAAGAAAATTCCATTCTTTGTCATGTAAAATCAAATCTTCCATTAATGGATCTATAAGTATATTCAGTTGAAAAAGTGTGAAAAGACAAACTTTACTTCCTATTAAAAATCAGAAACGGCATTGTTTGTGCAAATGTTATCTTACTATTAATACATGGTAATCGTAATTTCATGAAATCAGAACAATCAAAAATAAGAATCAAAAAACTTTACTACCCTCAGGAATAAATTCTATGTTCAATCATGAATCAATCCATATTAAATATGGATTGATATACGATGTGCAAGAATTCACAGGACATGAGACTATCAGACGACAATCTAATTAAGAAAAACCAATTAAATATGCAGTTTTGAGAAAGGTTAAGAAAAGAGATACCAAAACTAGTTGTGTTACTTAATGATTTATAAGAAAATAAATGGTATAAGTAATTTTAATTTAGTACAAATATCTTCATGCCATTACTACATTATTCTATATAACAATAGACTAAATTCATTCAATTCATTTTTTCATTCCAGCAATTTTATTAAAAGAAAGGTATCAGTAGATTATTTTGGAGATTTGAATAAATTTTGTGAGTCAAATTTGCAACATTGGGTACCATTTCTTAGTGTAATTTATGATAAAAACTAGATGTTGATCATTATTAACAGTTCATAAAACTTTATAACATGCACTATATTTGAATGATTAACTCAAACATTACTTACCTGTTTTCCAGAGCTGAAGAACATTTTCTTCATATGATGAAGAAGAATTTCCTGCATGAACCAAGTCAATAATGAAGATGTCACTATCGATGTTGTAACCTGGTTTTCCTGATCGAATTAACAGAGATTCTTTACTTGTTTCATTTTTAACTGTTATTTGTTCAGTGTGAATGAATTGAACATGGAATTTTTGGGTGACATAAATGCTTGGCACGCCAATGTTGGGAGATGAATGTTGCGAAGTATTATCCTCCTTCTGAGATTTATCAGTTTCACTGTCTAACTCACTTGACTTATACACTGATGGCACTGTAGCTAATAGATAATTAGCATCCATTTTCAGAATATTACTACCGTTCCAAATAAATGTGTAATACACTTCAACTAAAACATTGTGGCACGTATCTGATGTGTCATTATAAAAGGTCTTCATTAAAGTCTCAACATCCCCTTCACATTCATCAACATCTTGGTTATTATCTACATGTGTTCTGTGATGAATAGTCATTTTCTTGAAATTGTTTTGTAAAATAGTAATATAAGAAGAACCATTGTTTAAACAAATATATTTCACAGAGGTTTGCACAGGATGTAATTCAGAAACATTACTCAGCAACTGGGGAAAACTATATTTGGAACTAACATTACTTGATGCATCAAATACTAAGTATCTAGAAAGGAAAAAGTTAGTTGACTGTTCACAAAGATTTTTTGATATTTGCCTAACACAACGAGAGTTACGATTCATTAGAAAAAATACTGAATAATCAGAACACACGCCATCAAATACTTGCAACACATTATCTGGCAATTTTAAGTTCTCTATTCTTCTTGGAACAATGTTGTTGTCTACAGTTGATGAAACAGTTCTCAATGGCAACCCATACTTATAACCTCTTGCACTGTTTTCCATGATATTGTAATGATGATCTTGGGCATAATTATAATGTTTCTTTCGCTGCATTTTGATTTCATTTTTAAATGTGTCAATCTTTTGGATTTTCTTTTTGTTAATATAAAATTCACCTATGTAGGGAGAATTCAAGTTCACACATTCAAAGAAAGGTGCTAGATCTTCCTGTAGGCCACATATATCCAAATAGGACTCTTCCTTTGCTGCAGAGCACGAAAATAAATTTATTTGTTCATCAGTACAATCCTGTAAAGAAAGAAAGAGATTGCATCAAAATTAATGCAACGTTCTGACAATAAACATTTTTTTTATAAATAAAAGAGCAATATTTGTCCAATGTAATACATTTTAATTATAATAATCAATTATTATCAATATAAATGAAAGATAAATAAAAGGTAGAAAATTAAAAATAATGTTTAACAATTAATTGCGACTTTTTTTTTTAATATATATATTTTGCTAGAACTAAAATTATGGCATTTACAAGTTCTAGATCTAGTACTGTATTTTGAAAATATGAAAAAATTGGCTAATAACAAGGTATTTACTAAACTCCGACAGCCAAAATAACTAAAATTTAAAAAATAATTAGTTGTATTGTTACATAATATACATAAATTATCAATACACTCTTAAATCAGTATTTATTAATGTGTCTTGTAATTCAAAAGCATACTACCTTGTCTGTACAGCAGTTGATATCACAAATTCCTTCCAGCAAGTCACAATCTAAAACTGTATCTTTTTTATATCCGAGGTATTGAACATTGCGTTCTTTTCTTCCTAATATTCTGTCTGTAGCAATGCTCCAATTTATGAAGTAATTGTTAGCAAATATACTAAAAAACAATTGTTCTGAAAATCAAGAAATAAATTAAATAAAAAATTAAATTAATTTTAAATTGTTATATTAATCATGTATGATTTAATTAAGTAACTCTCTGCCAGCAATTGAAATTGATTAACTGAAGACCATTTTAAAAATAAATTCGTCTAGGTCATTACATTTAAAGAATTGCTATCTTAAATTACATTGAATTAATACAAAGTTACTAATAATTTTCATTACCCTTTTATTCAATGATGAAGGAATAAAAGTACTTACGAAAATAAATCAAAATGCATAATCTGCAAAACATTGTTAATGAAATTGCACGATCACACACCCCGCTTTTTTCTCCGTCATATGTAGCGAACCAAACTTCGCACCAATCGGCAGCCATTTGTAAACAACACCACGACTGACCACTACCAACAGAATTCCATGCCTGATCAATATATCGAATATAATCATTTTGATTCCATTCTGTGTCATAAAGACATTTCATATAGGTATATTAATTTACCCTTAATTTTAAAATCTACAAATAACTGAGCATAAAGCAGGGGGTCGATCCGATCCAAATCGTTCTGATTTGAAAAGTTGGTAAACATAAGGGAAGAAATTTCTATCTTCTTGGCGCCTTTTTTGAAGGCAAGGCAGGCTTCGTTCGAGGAGACTTCATTTTCATTTTAAGTATTACTCGCCAGAACAACGTCTTGTTTCAATTATTCTAAATTGGGAGAGGGAATTATCTTATGTAAGGCCGGATTTTCTAATATTAATCCATCATCTTTGTCAAAGTTTAACGGTGTAATATTTGATGGTGTGCTAGTACGAAGAAACACACTCGTTTAAATTCAATGAAAAGTTTATTGGATCGCAAATGATCACAATTACAAGTATAATAATTTGTACTATATCACAACGAATGTTCTCTTCCACATTGTTCACATCGTACCTCGCTTACCAAGTATACGCCCCTCACTTCTGTCATCTTTCCCATGTGTACCCATTACAAGGGAGTTTACAGAATTACACTCTTTAGACGTAATCTACAAAATGAGACCTTTCGGGGCAAACTAACTTATTTATAATAGTAATAATAATAATAATAATAATAATAATAATAATAATAATAATAATAATAATAATAATAATAGTCACATATTCAATTACAATCGCGTATGACCAAATGATCAAATAGGATGTGTGTGTAGGGAGTGCAATTCCGCTTAGCTGCTTGAGTGCAGAAAACATTTCCATATACTGTCCAGAAAGAAATCGAAGGGCCACCCCCACATTTGCTTAAAGGACGAAGGAAACCGGACAAAAATCCTGGTCGAGATGGGGGTCATTGAGCTAGGAATTATATTACAAAACTTGTTACAGTTACATTAACCCTAGGTTACAAAGGCTTGTCTGTCAGATGACGCAACTAGTGGCGAAAGCTTCCCCCACCCCTTCCCTTCTCTCACCGTTTGTGAAACTCTTTGTACCTTCATTGTGTGACTAGCCAGTAAAATAAATACACGTAACCTTGTGCGCGTGCCTATTTCCAATTACGCAATTTCCATATACGCAATTTTAACATGCATCATCCAATATAATATGCCTTTGTAGTTACGTCAGTGTTGATACTTTATTGGCTAATATTGTAAATAATGAATGCAAAATACTTTTCTTATAGCACTTAAGTTTTTTTATGAACATTTAGCACTAATAAAGGGACGATGGCGATAATAATAAAAGTGCATGACGAAGTACTTACGCGGGCGCTTCTCAAACGTCATGTGCGAACAGCATCAAGCAAGCTATGAGAGTCAATTCATTTAAGTGTATCTATAAAACCCTTTAAAATGTATTTTATAACTCCATATCATACATGTTTAAGCCATTAAATTTAGTGTTTCATTTTAAAAATTCTTTATTTTTCTTTATTTTTACTCAAAGTAGTCTGCCAGGTTACGTCTTCGTAATAACGCTTGGTACAGGGCGCGTTTGTAATCTAGGGTTAAGATTTGTTTCCCGCGTATATGTCAACTCGGACCACGCTTCAGCAGGTGCAAGTACCATTCTGGGGGGGGGGGGCATTTTAGCTGAATTCCGATTTTTATCCCCGAAGGTTGTTAGCCCTGAGGGCATGGACGATGACGTAATGATGATGGTGAGGGATGAAAGGACGGCACACAGACATACACAAACACACCCATGCCGGAAGCGGGACTCGAACCCACGGTCTTCTGGTCCGAGACCACTACGCCTCCACTGCCCAAATGATCTCTGCCATCTGATGACAGAACTTAAATTTCTATCAAATGTTTAAATTGTGAGGAGTACTTTATGAAAAGGACAAAAATGTGTTTTATTTTTACAAACAAACTACATATATTTGATATTTTCTGTGGAACTACACGCCAGTCGCTGGGAAGGAAGGTCCAGGAAGACACCCTTTTAAAGTTCTGCAAGGTAATGGCGCTTCGAAGGTAATGGCTGCTCTATGGAAGTGAAAATTGGGCCTTGAAGAAGAGAGATGAAAATAGAGTTGAAGCTTACGAAATGAAATTTTTAAGACATGTGACCCGCTATACATTGACGAGTAAAAAAAGAAATGATGATGTTAGAGCAGAATTGAATATGAAGAATATTTGGAGATATAATAATACAGTACCAACTAAGGTGGACCGAACATGTTGAAGGAATGCCAGACACAAAAATGACAAAATCCATCAAACAATACATTTCAGAAGGAAGATGATCTTAGGAAAAATCTAAGAAGAGATGGCGATACCTATTCTAAGGAGAGGGAACGGGCCAGGAGGCTCAATTCCTGAAGTAGATGATGATGATGATGATGATGATGATGACAAAATGTGTCCTTAATTTCAGACAAAGTCAATATCAAAGACTTTTTTTCTGTTTCAGCTTATGTAAGACGAGCTAACGGGAACCAGATAAAGTTGAAAAATCTGATCACTAAAGAACCAAAACTTGGAAGTACATGTTGCATTCACTATAAAACACATTCACATTAATCTCGCAATTAATCAATATTTATGACTACTAAAATTGATTTTAAGAATTACGGAAATATTATTTTCAATTATTAATGATAATTAATAGTTTAATTTCGCTAAGAATTAGTATTTCAATTTATAATTGGTGTACATGAGCACTAATGTTGAAGTAGTCAATGACGTTTTCGGTTGCGTTAAGAAAGAATTTCGTAGGAAAGTGCAGTAAATGCACTCAGCCTGAGATTGCAGAACACTTGATCAGACTGCTTATATTAACTATTGTAAACAGTTAATTACATTTGAAGTATTAACTATTAGTTCTACAGAACGGCACACACGTTTTCGTACTAGTAAGTTTCCTTTTCTCTTTCTCCTTCTCTTTAAGAATCTGTAATATTTGTCAAAACTGACTTACTTAACGGTAGGAACATATATTCATGCAATACTGATATTTATAATTATATCACATTTCGTAGAAATCACGTCCATCAAGTATCTGTATCAATAGCTCACAACCAGAAATCCACATACAATACATCACACCGCCCCAGCCTGACAAGCTCTAAGCTTCCGACCGGTCTCCCGCACGCGGTCCGTGGCCCATTTGTTAAGGTACTACTCCGGCATTTGACTGGTATTGAACAGAGAAACCCTCCAGACAACGATTGAATTCCTAAATTATGAATTTGAAAATCCTATGTCGAAAATTCTGCCACCGTCGTAACTAGAACCTAATTGATGTCATTGCAGTGCCTCTGGCCGGGAGGTTCCCCATCACATCAGTTGATGCCCTGAGCCACCTCTCCGGGTCGCCTCTTAGATGAAGTGTTTGCTTGGATGAAGCGTAGCGCGTGTAGTCCATTGTAGTATACACACGCTTGCAATTCTGAGGGACGCGGTTTCAAATCCTAGCATAGCTTAGTATTTTTATCCGGTCATGATATATTCAGGGCACGTCTCTAAGGTCCACTTTCCGAAAGAATTGCGGTAAAAATATCCGGCTGAAGCATGACGCTTGTCACGATATCTTCATCCCGCTGTGACCATCTTAATAAGACCAAGATACCCGTTACATTGTACAGGGGGAAGCGAATAGTACTCGAACTCGTAAGTCTGGAAGAGAGGATTCCTAAGATCTCCGAACCCTAGTCAAGTACATATCGGTGCAGAACTAAAAGTACAAAGGGTAAAAGGGTAGTTTATACATTAAGTGGGAAAAACAGAAATACGGCAACTTACGAACATTCATAAATGCACATGAAATGCGCCGAGTGAACAGTTAGTGAACCAAATAGATCACGAAATAGTTAACAGAAGAACAAGCAGATGTGTTACAGATGTCAAAACCTACAAAGATCCAAATTGTGATTCCGATCACTTACTGGTAGGAGTCAAAGTCAGACTAAGAACTAATTCTAAAGAGTTTGGAAAATTTGAAAGAAAAAAAAGGAATGTAGAAAAACTAAATAAAAAGCAAGTACGATCCCAATTCAAAAACTAGAATGAACGACGTTAAAAACGAGATTCTAAAAGAAGCTGGTGAGAATGTAGGAATCAAATTTCTGGTAAGAAACTAATTAGTTTGACGATGAATGTAGAAACACCACCAAGAGGAAAAACGAAGCACGACATAATTGCCTCCTCAAAGATAGTAGAAGGAATAGAGAAAAACATGAACAGAAAAGAGCAAATGCCAGAAAAAAGCGCAAAAAGAATAGGAGGGATATGTCAAGAAAAGAAACGGAATCCCTTCTGAAAAAAGATTACAAAAACAATACGGCCTACATATTCTATAAAAATGTAGTGTTTATCAAAAAAGTTTAAGCCGAGAATTAGTAAAGTAAGATTTAGAGATGTCACAATTCTTTCAGAAAAAAGTAAAATACTAGATAGATGGAAGGAACTTTTCCAGAGAGAACACACGCAATAATACGAATGGGGCTGTTATGGAGATGAATACTGTGCGTCAGAACTAGAGAAACCAACATATGATGAGGTAGTGACCATAATAAGAGACTAAGAAATCAAAAGCGACTGGAATTGACAGCATATGTGCAGATCTTGTACAAAAAGGAAAAGAACCATTAAAGAAAATATATGAATTAATAAAGAAAATGTGGAATAAAGAACATATACCAAATAGCTGGAAAACAGCAATTGTGTGCCCAATATACAAGAAAGGAGAGAAGTTAAATTGCAGTAATTATAGAGAAATCTCATTATTTAATATTATATATAAAATTCTTGCAGCAGTTGTAAACAATAGGTTGACAAGATATGTAGAAGGTTTAATAGGAGAGTACCAAAATGAGTTTAGAACCAATAGATCAACAAGAGATAACACATTTGTCATTCACCAAATATTTGAAAAGTGCTATGAGCATAATATAGAACTCCACATATTGGTTATATATTTTAAACAAGCCTTTGA